AGGTCCGCGCGGATTTCTCAGATCGGCGCTGGACACCCCTCCCTGGGGCGCGGAACGCGCCAGGGGCGGCGCGGGAGGCGCCGCCAGGGGGGCATAGGGATACGTAAGTTCGAGTCTGGTTACCAACGTCGGGCGACACCGCCATTCCCCGGAACTCTCCCGGGTGCGTTCTGACTAGTTCCTTGGGGCGAATCCAGCGGCGGCGACGAGAGCCTTCCAAGAGGCCCAAAACGGGGGGAAATGAGGGAAGAGTAGAGGTATGGGTACCTGTTCCTCCTCTGAATAGATTCGAGCCTGGTTTCCAACTCGGGAGCGGCCAAGAGGGGGGTGTCCAAGAGGGGGGGGTGCAAATCATGACCGGCGGCATGTGCGCGGCCCAGCGGGGGGGCCAGGGACGTAAAGAAACAAAAAGAGGCGCCATGAGATCTGGGGAGATATCATGGCCCCCGCCATGATATCCCCCCCCTTAGTCATCACCCCCCTCTTTTCCGCCCCCGACCAACGTCGGGCGAGTGAGAGAGCGTGGCGCCCGTGCGGGCCTTTGCGAGGGGGGGATACTATCCGTGGCCACCGCCTCTGGCGCAGACGTCCTGTGGCCCCAGCGGGCCGGTGGGTATGCAAGCATTCGGGATGATGATGATGATGATGATGATGATGATGATGATGATGATGATGATGAGGAGGAGGAGGAGGAGGAGGAGGAGGAGGAGAAAGAGGAGGAGGGGGAGAAAGAGGAGGAGGAGAAAGAGGAGGAGGAGAAAGAGGAGGAGGAGGAGGAGGGGGTGGTGGTACTCAGCATCGGGTCGAATCTGCAATGATGAGGCAATTACAATTGACCGCTGTGCGCATAATGAGGGCAAATCCCCTCGCGAATCTTGAAAGTCGGCACTCCCGTCACGACTAGACTTCTAACCAGGGAACACCATAGAAACCGTTCGGGTCGAGAAGCCTAACGAAAACATCCCGAACAGTGCACAGTGGCACTAGATCCCGAGAGTGAGAAGTCAAACGTCGCAGCTCACACGCGCACACACAACACAGGAGCGAGGGAGAGAGAGAGAGGGACACGAGGACACAGCACGACACGAGGACAAGGCGAGAGGGAACAGGAAGGCGGAGGCAGGCGGAGAAGCGTCACTACAAGTCAAGAGGAGGCCTCAGCTCTCAGGTCTGACCTCTGCCCCGATCTTCCTCTTATGCCCTTGCGGAACTTGCGCTTCGGCTGAATTTCAGGGGGAGCCCGGGCGCCCGACAATCGAACTCTGCCAGCTTTCAGACACGCACTGCCTGGGGGGTCCGAGTACATCCATGTCCACCGCCTGCCGAGGTCTCCGAACATCGATCCTCCGGGCGGTGGTCATGTATACAAGTGGCAGTGTGCCATAGCCCTTGCACAAAAAGGAAGGGGGAGGAGGAGGAGGAGGAGGAGGAGGAGGAGGAGGAGGAGGAGGAGGAGGAGGAGGAGGAGGAGGAGGAGGAGGAGGAGGAGGAGGGGGGAAGAGGGGGCAAGGCATCGCCCTCTGGGCCCAGCAACGGGGCCCAAGTCCCAAGTGGGGAGGGTGGAGGGAGCACGGGGCGGAGGTCCCACTGGGGCGCTGGGGGCGCGGAGAAGAGGGGGGGGGTGCCACGACGCGGAATAAACTGTCGGGGCGGAGGGGGCACTGGGCGGGGCTTGGGGCAGAGGGCCACGGGGCGGGGGTCCAACTGGGGCGCTGGGGAAAAGAGGGGGAAAGGGGGGGGAGGTGGCGTGCGTCGCGACGCGGAATAAAATTGTCGGGGCGGAGGGGGCACGGGGCGGAGTCCCCACTGGGGCGCTGGGGACGCGGGGAGGGAGGTGGGGGAGGTGGTGTGCGGCGCGACGCGGGATGAAGCGTTAGTGGCGGAAGGGGCAGTGGGCGGGGCCCCCGCTGGGGCGCTGGGGACGCGGGGGGGCTCGGGGCAGAGAACCACGGCGCGGGGGTCCCACTCTGGCGCTGGGGACGCGGAGGGGGGGGGTGCGACGTGTAATACAGCGTTCGTGTCGGAGGGGGCAGTGGGCGGGGGCCCCGCTGGGGCGCTGGGGACGCAGTGGGGCTTGGGGCAGAGAGCCACGGCGCAGGGGTCCCACACTGGCGCTGGAGACGCGGGGGAGGGGGGGGAGCTGCGACGCGGGAGAAACCGTTCGTGGCGGAGGGGGCAGTGGGCGGGGCCCCCGCTGGGGCGCTGGGGACGCGGTGGGCTCGGGGCAGAAAGCCACGGCGCGTGGGCCTCACACTGGCGCTGGGGACGCGGGGGGGCGGGGGGGGCGACGCGGGATAAAGCGTTCGTGGCGGAGGGGGCAGTGGGCGGGGCCCCCGCTGGGGCGCTGGGGACGCGGGGGGGCTTGGGGCAGAGAGCCACGGCGCGGGGGCCCCACTCTGGCGCTGAGGACGCGGGGGGGGGGGGAGCGACGCGAAATAAAATGGTCGGAGCTCTAGACACCCTGTGCAAGAGAATAAAGTGGTCGGGGCGGAGGGGGCGGTGCGCTGGGGGGAGGAAGGGTAGGGGGGGCGAGGACGACGCGAAATTAAAGTGGTCGGGAGGAAGGGGGAGGCGCGCTGGGATCTTCGGGAGAGGGGAGGGTGGGGGGGGGGGCGCGACGATCGAAAATAAAGAGGTCGGGGCGGATGAGGGCGGCGCGTGGGACTGCTGGGGAACAGGTATCAGGGGGGCGACGACGACGCCGAAATAAAGTGGTCGGGGCGGAGGGGGCAGCACGCTGGGCTGCTGAGGAGAGGGAGAGGGGGGGGGGCGACGACGACGCCGAAATAAAATCGTCGGGGCGGAGGGGGCGGTGCGCTGGGGTGCTGGGGAGCGACACGTAGCGACACATGTCGACACAACGCCGCAATAGGGCGACGACGACGCCGAAATAAAGTGGTCGGGGCGGAGAGGGCGGTGCGCTGGGCTGCTGGGGAAAGCGACACATGTCGACACAACGCCGGAAAAGGGCGACGACGACGCCGAAATAAAGTGGTCGGGGCGGAAAAGGCGGTGCGCTGGGCTGCTGGGGAAAAGGACCGGGGGGGGCGACGACGACGCCGAAATAAAGTGGTCGGGGCGGAGGGGGCAGCGCGCTGGGCTGCTGAGGAGAGGGAGAGGGGGGGGGGGGGGGGCGACGACGACGCCGAAATAAAGTCGTCGGGGCGGAGGGGGCGGTGCGCTGGGGTGCTGGGGAGCGACACATAGCGACACATGTCGACACAACGCCGAAATAAAGTGGTCGGGGCGGAGGGGGCAGCGCGCTGGGCTGCTGAGGAGAGGGAGAGGGGGGGGGGCGACGACGACGCCGAAATAAAGTCGTCGGGGCGGAGGGGGCGGTGCGCTGGGGTGCTGGGGAGCGACACATAGCGACACATGTCGACACAACGCCGAAATAAAGTGGTCGGGGCGGAGGGGGCAGCGCGCTGGGCTGCTGAGGAGAGGGAGAGGGGGGGGGGGCGACGACGACGCCGAAATAAAGTCGTCGGGGCGGAGGGGGCGGTGCGCTGGGGTGCTGGGGAGCGACACATAGCGACACATGTCGACACATATCGACATATAGAGACATATATCGACACACACACATATCGACGCATAGCGACACACAGCGACACATAGCGACGCACACATGGAGACGCATAGCGACACACAGCGACACATATAGCGGCACATGAAGGGCACAAGGCACACAGCGACACATATAGCGACACATGAAGGGCACAAGGCAGCTGGGGGGGAGCGACGACGACGCCGAAATAAAGTGGTCGGAGCTCTAGACACCCTGTGCAAGAGAATAAACCTCTCTCTCGGAAGGCTCGTGCGGCGAAACGCGCGTGCCAACGCCCGTGTGGGCCAGGCGACAACGTCGGCACTTGTGCCAGGGCAACGGCCAGGGCGTTGGACAAGGAACCCTTCGAGAAGGAATCCAGGGTCTGGAAACGGGTGGAGCATCAATTGCGGCTTGGCCACGAATGTCACCGCCGCCCTCATGCCATGAGGAGTCCTCCAGGGTCTGAAGCCTCCTGGGCACATTCCTCAACGAACGCCCCGACAGTATTTTGCACGATGCTGGTTCTCTGTTGAGGGAGGGCACCAGGTGGCCTGCATGCCAAGGCTATTGCACGGCGCAGCTGTGGAGCGGCCGGAGGCGGAGGAAGATGAGGAAGACGGGAGGCATCTTGGGGCCGTCCTGAAGCCTTCTTGAGGCCATCCTGTTCGACAGGGTCAGAAGGGACTGGCTTCCATTGCTGAGTCGTTTCCTGGCGGCCCCGGCCCAGGATGGTCCGAAGGCCGAACACTCGGGTAAAGACACCTCAGGACCTCTTGGCTCCGTGGCGAGGAACGCAAGGATCCGGCCGACCAACACAGGAGGGATCGGTGAGCGGTGAGAGCGGCAGACTGGCCGAGGTGGGATGACTGGGGGCCAGGCGCACGCGGCTGCCAGGGCAGCGGCGGCACAGACCCGGCGCCAGGCATGGACCTTATGCGATTGCGGCGGGAGTGCTCTCCCCTCCCTGCACTCCCATCGGGCTTCCCATGGCACACCGCATCATCACCACCACCATCCTCGTCCTCATCCGCATCTTCAGCCTCATCGTCGTCGTCATCGTCATCATCACATCATCATTGCATCCTCACGATCATGAGCGTCATCAGCATCATCGTCACCACCACCACCATCACCATCATCAGCATCATCAGGATCATCAGGATCATCAGGATCACCAAGATCATCATCATCATCATCATCATCATCATCATCATCATCATCATCGTCATCATCCTCATCAACATCATCATCATCCTCATCACCATCACCATCACCATCACCATCACCATCACCATCATCATCATCATCATCAGCACCATCATCATCATCATCATCATCATCATCACCACCATCATGGTAGTCGTCATCATCAGCAGCATCATCATCCCCTCGCCCACCCCTCAAGGCATCTGTCCCTCTCTGTGCCTGCGTCTCTTTATTTTCCACCGTTGTCCATCAATGGGACCGTGTAGAGTTCATGTGGCAGAAACAGGAAACAAACAAGTGACATTATGGAATACGGAAGCGGCAACTACAGACCACAAGACGAAACAAAGCGTGGGATACATTCAAGTCCGGCTGGCACCGAGCCGTCTGAGGCTGAAGCTGGCGCTGCCGACAGACACTACCAGGGATGGGCAAGCTGAGGGGGTTGGCGATCAGAAGGCAGCGCCGGATTATAGATTCTAGAGCAGGTGCTCGAAGGGAGCAGCGTACGACACTAGCGGCCAACGAGAGGCCACGAACACCATCGCGTCTGAAATACAAGTGGCATGCGTGCCCTGGCTCTTGCACAAAGGGCTGCCCTGGGAAACCTGGACGGAGGGGGGGTCCCACGGGGGGGTGGCCCAGGGGAGCTGGGGCTCAGGCTCAGGGAAGGGGCCGAGGGGGACGAACCACGACGAACCACGAACCACGACGAAAATCCGCCGACCCTGTCGGCGTGTGGAAGATGCTTTTCCGTTCGTCGTGAACGTCGTCGTCGTCGTCGTCGTCGTCGCCGTCGTCGTCGTCGCCGTCGTCGTCGTGGTCGTCGTCGTCGTCGTCGTCGATGCTCTTCCGTTCGTCGTCGTCGTCGTCGTCGTCGTCGTCGTCGTCGTCGTCGCCCTCCCCTCAGGCGCGCCAGCCAAAGCGAAACCAAAGCGAAATCGAGCAACGTCGTAGCTGAGTCGAAGGCAAAGCGAAATTGAGCAACGTCGTAGCTGAGTCGAAGGGAAGCCCCTTCCCTTTGATCCCTTCCCCGCCGGGGGGGGGGGGGGTCCCGGGGGGGGGGGCAGATACGCATCCCCCCCAGGATCCCCATCCCTAGAAAACCCCCAGACCCCCAAAGTGCCCCAAGAGGGTTCCAAGACCCCCAGAGGGCCCCGAATCGCCGAACCATCGGTCGAAGACGCCAAAGTAGCCTCCAGACGGCCCAAGAGATTGCCAAGACGCTCCAAGAAGTCTCCAAGAGCACTCCCAAGAGGGCACGAAGAGGGAAAGATCAATGATTTCCTAAGGTTTTGACAGATTTTGGCGTTCTCGCCGTTTCAACTTGCCGACGCTCCAAGACGGCCCCAGATGCCCCCAAGATTGCCCCAAGATAACCCAAGAGGCCTCAAGAGAGCCCCAAAATGACCCAAGAGAGCCTCAAGACCGCCCAAGATGCCTCCAAGATGGCCCCAGAGGCTCCCCAAACGGCTCCAACAGGGTGCCCAGACGGGGGGCCCGACGAGCCCTCGGCGACAGAGGCTCCCAGGAAGCCCCAAGATGCCCCCAAGAGGCCACCACGAGACCCCCAAGAGGCCCCCAGGAAGCCCCAAGAGGCCCCCCCCGCCACATTAGAGAACGCATGGGTCGCCCTCCAGGGTCGGCGGCACCGGCCGTAAGGCCTTCGCAATAAGGATGTCCGCGGCCAGGGGGGGCTGTCCTGGGACGCCTGGACGGAGCAAGCCTCCGAAGGGTGGGTGGCCCTCAGGGGAGGGGCCGAGGAGGACGAACCACCACGAGCCACGAACCACGACGAAACTAAAGACGCCGAGCTCTGGAGCACAGCTGTGCCAGAGGACTGGTGCACAACACTCGGCGAGAGTAACCTCCACCGCCGCCGCTCTACCGGAGGCGGTCACGGGCCCCTGCCCTGCTGCCGCTGGCGTGCCGCAAGGAGCCCGGCGGCGCGCCAGCACAGAGGGTCTGAGAGCCTCGCCCGGCTGGCGACTGGCATGGCCCACTCTCTCCCAGGGTTGGGTCGGACAGTGGCACGGGCGAGGAGGAGGAGGATGAGGAGGAGGATGAGGAGGAGCACGAGCAGGAGCAGGACGGACAGGGAGGAGTCACCCACTGCCGGCGCCCTCTGAGTCTGCAGGTGGCGCGCGGGCGGCGGCGCTGCCCCGCGGAGCGGCGCTGGCGGGCATGTCCCCCTAAAGGCGGATATTGGACGAAAAATTAAATGTCGGCGTAACTATGCAGAAATCGTGAACAGATGCTCCAGACATCGTCCCCAGACTATTTTCCTCCATATCCAAAGGATGGGGTTCTCGTTATTCTCCGACCGCGCCGGACCACCCATTTCATGATGATGGCCATGGTATGGTGAGAGTATGATGTGAGTATGACGGTGATGGTGAATGATGGATGAGTATGATGATGATGATGATGATGATGATGATGATGATGATGATGATGATGATGATGATGATGATGGTGATGCTGATGATGATGATGATGATGATGATGATGATGATGATGATGGTGATGGTGATGGTGATGGTGATGATGATGATGATGATGATGATGATGATGATGATGATGATGATGATGATGATGATGATGGTCATGATGATGGTGACGATGAGTAGATGATGAGGATGTCTCGAGCGGCTTGCTGGTTTTAGCACTCCTAAGGGGGGGCCACCAGGGGTATTGCACGGCCTCCATTCGCGCCCAAATGGTGGGGATGTCTCAGGCGGTTTGCCTGTTTTGGTCCCCAGCATCCTCCGCTTTCGCAGCAGACTTTGAGGATGTCTCGTGCGAGGCGCCTCCTAAGGGGGGGCCGCCAGGGGTATTGCACGGCCTCCGTTCGCGCCTAAATGGCGGGGATGCCTCAAGCGGTTTGCCTGTTTTGGTCCCCAACATCCTCCGCTTTCGGAGCAGATTTGAAGGAAATCTCGAGCGAGGCGCTCATTTTCGCCCCCCAGGGGGGCCAGATGTTGAGGATGTCTCGATCGGTTTGCCTGCTTTGGTGGCCAGACTCGTGGGCACATATTCTCCCCAGGATGCCACAGGAGGCTCCAGCAGGCCTCAGGAGGCCCCAGGAGGCCACATGAGGTCCCAGAAGGCATCAGGAGGCCACAGGAAGATTCAGGAGGCCACAGGATGTCCCAAGAGGCTCCAGGAGGCCCCAGGAAGCTCCAGGAGGCCTCAGGAAGCCACAGGAGACCCCAGGAGGCCACAGGAAGCGCCAGGAGGCCCAGGCAACAGGAGGCCCCGAGAGGCCCCAGGAGCAGGAGGCCTCAGAAGGCAACAGGAGTGGCTCCAATCCCATGTGTTTTACGTATGCTCCTATCGATTGGGCCTCGCCTGGAGCACGAATCCTTGATGCTATACGTGTGTTCCTATACATTGTCCTTCTCCTGGATACAAACCTAAATGTCTTACGTCTGTTCCTATATATATATATATATATATATATACATATATACATATATATATATATATATATATACATGGGCCTCCCCTGGGGCACGAGTCCTTGGTGTTTTACGTGTGCTCCCGTAGGCTGCCCTTCTCCTGCGGCTCCAATCCGCAATGCTTTATGTACGTCTGTTCCTATAGACCGGGCTTCTCCTGGGGCACGAATCCCCCCTAGGAGGTCCCAGGAGGCTTCAGGAGGCTCCAGGAGGCTACGCGAGGCTCCAGGAGGCCTCAGGAGGCCACTCGAAGCCCCAAGAGGCCCCAGGAGGCCCCAAGAGCCTCCTGGAGGCCCCAGGAAGGCCCAGGAGGTTTCTGGAGGCCCCAGGAGGCCCCAGGCTCCTGCGCAGAGACGCGCTCGTACTACCGAGACTCATTCACGCTCCAAACCGTTCGAAGCTAGCTTCATGACGCAGACCGTCACCCTTCAAGTCCGCTCATATTCGACAACTCTTGCGCCCAGACTCTCACGGCGGACAGGTCCATGCGAATAGATGCACAGATGGGGAGCTCCACGCAGTGAAGAATTTCACTGTGTCTAAATATTCCTCCTCTGGAGCGACAGGCCCGACTTAACCCCAGGGCCAGGACAGGCTACGTGTCAGGGGTGGCCCCAGTGTTACTTCGCGGCGCTGCCCCAGTGCTGTTTATAGCAACGCGAGGTGGGCTCGTCCAGGCCCGTGGGGATGCGCGGACCCGACCTGCCCGCTCTGAAAGCACCGCCTGGCCCACTTCACTAGAAGTAGGCTGAGGTCGGGCATGTCCTCCTGCAGGCGGCATCTTGGACGAACCGTAACAATACCAACAAAAGTGCACAACAATACACACAAGTATTCAGAAATCGCCCCCATATTGTTGTTCGACTATGTTTGAAGGCTCCTCCTGTAGAGGGACATGCCCGACCTAAACGTAGGCCATTGGGCCGTAGAATGAGTTTGGAGAGAGGTGCTGATAGGGAGAGACGCACAAGGTATATAGAGGGGTACATGGTAGGGGTGGGTAGCTCTAGGAAGCGACATTAGAAATTGCGAGATGACGAGGAGAAGAGAACAACAACGAACGACGAACGTATCCACATCCACAGAAGAAGAACAGCCGCTATAAGCCTAAAGCTTGCGGCGCTCCGCGCAGATTTTTTGGATCTGCGCCGGACCCGCCTCCCTGGCGCGCTCCGCGCGCCAGGGGCGGCGCCGAAGGCGCCGCCAGGGGGGCCCAGCGCGGAGCCGAGAAATCCGCGCGAGCACTTAAAGCTTATGTTTATAGTGTTTTTCTTCTTCGAGTATCTCCATCCACGCCCACGCGGTCTGGACTCCGAATACGCGGTCACATGGATACGCTTCGCGCGGTGCGTCCGCGAAAAAATGACGCCCCGTTCCCACAGGGCTGCGGCCCAGGTGCACGGACAGCGGGGCCGTGGATACGGAGACGTTCCTGGCTAAGGAAGCAGATCACCACAGTTAAGTCAGGCTTGTCCCTCTACGAGAGGAATATGAAAACATAATTTAAGAAATAGTCGGGGGACGATGTTTTGAACATGTTTTGACTATTGTTGAATCTTGTTTGACTATTTTTTATTTTTCGTCCAAAATCCGTCTGTAGGAGGGCATGCCCGACCTAATTATCACTACAGCCGCGCACCGCTGAGGTGCCCGCACTCTCTGTGAATGGTGCGACGAGGCGCCCCATCGGGTCGTGGCGCATTCCGCCGGACGCCGTGGGCACGCCATCTTGAGCCCGGCGGGCACCAGAAGTGCAAGCGATGAGGCGGGCGAGCGCGGGGAAGAGTGTCAGGACGGGCGAGGTGATCGGGGAGACTGGGATCCCGCACCAGGGCCCTCCGAGGATAGCGGCAGCGTTGGGATCGGCGAGGCCTGCAGGACGCTCCGAAGGACAAGCGCAGCGACAAGATCAGCCCTCCACGGAAGCAAAGCAGAAAACGAGGCAGAAGAAACCGGAGGCTCAGCAAAAGAGCGTCAGCAAAAAGAGCGTGACAGAAGGGTGCGAGGTACAAGGGGATGAGGCAGAGGCAGAAGAGGGCGAGGCAGAAGAAAATGATGCAGAATATGCAGAGGACGAGGCAGAAGATGACGAGGCAGAAATGAAGACGAAATTAGAGAGGCAGGGATGAGGCCGCTGCACTGGCGGCAGACGGCACGGCAGAGGAGGCAGCAACGCCGCATAAAGCACTGGAGCGGAGCAGGACGCAGCACATGAGCAGGACGCAGCCCCCGAGCGGAACGCAGACCTTGAGTAGGACGCGGCATCGGAGAAGGACGCAACAGTGGAGCAGGACGCAGTAACGCAGCAGGACGCAGCTCCGGAACAGTACGCATCATTTGGGCAGGACACAGCACCTGAGCAGGAGGCTGCACCCGAGCGGGCCAAGTCAAAACTTTCCAGGAGCGGACGCAGCACTGAAGCAGGACGCGGCACCGCAGCAGGACCCAACACCCGAGCAGGACGCAGCGCCAGAACAGGACGCAGCACTTGGGCACAACGCAGCACCTGAGCAGGACGCGGCTCTGGAGCAGAATGCAGCACCCTGCAGCACTGGACCAGGGAGCAGGACGCAACGGCGGACCAGGACGCAGCACTGGAGCAGGACGCAGCACCAGAACAGGACGCAGCACCAGAGCAGGACGCAGCGCCTGAGCACGACGCAGCACGCGAGCAGAACGCAACACCCGAGCGGATCGCAGCACCGCTACAGGTCGCAGCTCTTGAGCAGGACGAAATACCTTAACAGGACGCAGCTCTGGAGCAAAACGTAGCACTGGAGCAGGATGCAGCACCAGAGCAGGACGCAGAGCTTGCGCAAGTCGCTCCACTGCAGCAAAGCCACGGCCGAGCACGACGCAGCACCTGAGCAGGACCCAGCACCTAGGCAGGACGCAACAGTTCAACAGGACATAGCACCTGAACAGGGCGCAGCATTTCACCAGGACGCAGCACCCCAGCAGGACGCAGCACCAGAGCAGGACGCAGCATGTCGGCGCTGCTCCGCCGTGGTTCGCAGGCCGACACGGGCTGCAGCAGCCATGGGAGAGCAGCTGCCACTTCGGGAGGGTGGCCACGCGCAGTGCAGACTCAGGCCAGAGGCGGAGCCAGAGGCACAGCAGAACCAGACGGACACGAAATCAGAGCGGGGAGGTGGTGAAGGACAGGCGGCGACGCTGCAGCCAGCAGCAACGAAAACCACACGGGGCCCCTCCCAGAAGGAGGGCAACTAGCGCAAAAAAGAACCGTAGGTTCGTGTCGTGGCGACCCTGGCGTTGGTCTCTGATACAGCGTGCATCGTTCAACTGTGAAAAACATCGGCCGCTTTTCAGCCGCCGGATCACTGGGGGGGCGGATCGATGAAATCCTCGTGTCCCAGACCCCGCCCGCGCCGGGCGGTGCCGGAGGAGGCGGAGGATGAGGAGGAGGAAGGAGGGAGAGGAGGAGGAGGAGGAGGAGGAGGAGGAGGAGGAGGAGGAGGAGGAGGAGGAGGAGGAGGAGGTGGAGGAGGAGGGGAGGAGGAGGAGGGAGAGGAGGAGAGGAGGAGGAGGAGGAGGAGGAGGAGGAGGAGGAGGAGGAGGTAGAGGAAGGGAGAGGACGAGGAGGAGGAGGAGGAGGAGGAGGAGGATCAGGAGGAGGAGGAGAAGGGGGAGGAGAAGGAGGAGGAGGAGGAGGAGAAGGAGCAGGAGGAGAAGGAGGAGGAGGAGGAGGAGGGAGAGGAGGAAGGAGGAGGAGGAGGAAGAGGAGGTGGACGAGGATTTGCTCGGTCCCCCG